TGTACATGACTCGTGTGTGCATCGTAATGTGATCGTGCGACTCGAAAATGCAAAAAAGCAAAAATTTTCCGTCATTTTTGTGGAGGGTACCGATTTTCCCGAAAAAGAAAGACGCGAAAAAAGGATCGAAGTTTTTGAAGGTGCATGTTGAATGAGCTTAGTCAAATGTCATTTGATACTATCTCTCAAGGATTGTAACATCTTAGACTATCCTAGTTGACTCGATAATAAAAGTATTTAGGTAACTTAGGCACGGAGGCTAAGCACTTCATACTTCATGATGCAATGACAATTATGATTGATGAGTGATGTTGATATGACAAGGCATGCTTCAACGTTGTGTTAAGATTCCATGACAAAGGGTTCCTAAGGGAAGGACTATTTGGTCATGTATCTGTGATGTGTGTGAAAGTGACACTAAAGTTAGGCCGCAAGGGCTAAGTGTGTGGGAAAATATATTGAAAAGAGTCAAATGGTGGTGACTCTTAGGCTAGGTAAGCTAATGATATAGGGATCAAGCCCCCAAGTCTAGCTCTAAGTAAATAGGGATGAGCATAGGAGATCCCTTGATAGGATCATGGTGTAAGTGTGTGAATTTGAATATGAATGCATGTTTATTACGGCCGCACCTCAATGTGAGGTTGCCTACGTATCCGTTAGGAATCAGGCCGAACATAGCTCTAGCCGAACTGGCACAAGTGTGTATACCTCAAAAAGGTCTTTTTAAGGGTTGTAACGTGGTTAGGCTAAAGTTTATAGAAGAAGGGGATAAAGGCTCAAGACCCTAGATAATCCCCCAAGGTGTGCAACCTCGCTTTTGAATATTTATATTTTTATGCTTGAGTTTCTACTCTTTTTTAGCTCTCTTTTTTTTCTTTTTTTTTTTGCTTTATTTATTTTATTTTCATAAGTGTGGACAATCCCGATCATGCGGTCTACCACTCACTTGGCATTCGTGTTTCTCAGGCACGGTACCGAGAACTCGATAAGAGACGCAATCTGAGACGTGTTCATATCAAAGTTATTTTCATATCAAAGACATTGGAACACTTGCCCTTTTGTGCACTTTTATTTATTTTTTGCTTTTATTTTTATTTTGATCTTTTGAAATCACTCAAGATTTTTTAGAATTGCATAAGTTACACACCATCCCATCCCAAGGTTAGGTAGATGTAGGTTGAAAAAAGAAGGGTCTATCGTTAGACGAGGCTCAAAGTGGTTTATGAAGAAATGATTGTAAATTAGAAAGGTGAAAGGTAATATGATGTGGCTACAAGGGGTGCCTCAAATCATTGGTATACCTTGTGCTTAGTTCGACAATGATTTTTATTTTTATTTTTTTTTATGCAATATAATGAAATGATCATATATAAGGAAATAAATGCTCATTTTATTAAAAGAAAATATATAATGATCCTAAAAAAAGGTGCCTATGCTAGACTTATTGGGGAAAGGGTAAATAAAAAAAGAAATAGAAAAAAAGAGGTCACGAAATCTTGTCGTTGAAGCTCGCCTCTTGTCTTGTGTTGTTTCCTTTATCATCACTCACTCTTCTTGTTAACTGGAGGCATGGGAAGCTTGTTATTATCAATCAAATGTTGGATAGCCTCCTTTAGCTTCCAACAGCTCTCAGTAGCATGACCCCTACCTTGATGGTACTTGCAGTGTTCGTCTGGATTCCAACTAGGAAATCTCTTTTCAGGTGCGGGATCTTGAATAGGTCCAATGGGAGTAATGAGTCCTTTGGCATGGAGTCGATCGAAGGAAGTATCGTAGCTCATCCCAATGGGGGTGAAGTCTTTCCTTAGTTGCTTCTTAGATCCTTGGTTATCCATGGCTAAAACTTCACTGAGATCAAAGGTACTAACATTGTTACTAGAGTGGGCGTTCTCGGAAGAAGAAGGATTGTCGTTCTTCTTTCCTTTCTAGCCACCGTGGTTACTATTGTTAGTAGCTTTTTGCTTTGCGAGGTCATCTTCGATTTCAATTCCGATGTCATAAACGGCCTTGAAAGTATTTAGATTGTGTTGATATTTTAAATGCTCGAATACTTCTCTTGAAGATTCTTGATAAAAATCCTCACAGATTCTTTTTCAGTGGGCACCTCAATCATCTTAGCAGAAATTTCCTTCCATTTATTAAAGAAAGAAGTAAAGCCTTCATTCTCTTTTTGTCTTAGCATCTCAAGTTGTCTATGGTCGATTTCAACTTGAATATTGCACTTGTACCTATCAATGAAAGCGTTTGCTATGGATTCCCAGGTAGAGGTTTTCTCTTTCTCAAGAGAAAAGAACCATTGCTGGCAAACGGTCTCGAGAGATAGTGAGAACATAGAGGGGAAAACCTTCTTATCGATACTCTTAATACTAATTATGGTTTCGAAAGCTCTTAGATGAAAATAAGGGTTATCTGTTGCCTTGAATTTAGGGATGTCAATGGCGTTGAACTTATGCGGAAGAAGTTCCTTGTCCAGCGAGACCCCTTGTGAACTCATGCCCTGAAATTTGTAGTCACTAGATAGCTTGCTCAAGCTTTCTTGCATGAGGTTCATTTGTTGTTGCTTCACGGGATCACCGATCTTGAGTGTGAGTAGCTTTAGTGTCTCAGTCACGGTAACCAATTGGTTCCTAAGCTCATTGACTTCTTCTTGACTTGCCATTATCTTTTTAACCTTCCTCTTTTGACGAATCGGTTTATCAAAAAGCGAGACCTGGATAAAGAGGTTGTCCTTGATTAATCGCCCTTCTCTCCCTCGACCAAGTACTGTGGAAAAGGAATTTGGGGATATTCATTGTTAATTATTTGACTTAAACTTTATTCAACATGCGATGGACGGAGGAAGTGAAGAAAGATTGGAATAGAATGTGAAAGAAGATGATGTAAATGGAGGGATATGAATAGAATGTACCCCCAACTCAAATGACGGAAAGACCGACTCATGCATGGACCTAAGACATGGTCATGGTGACATATACTCAAAGTGTGTGCTAAGACTAGTGAGTGTAGGTGATATGTTAAGACTCGTGTTATGACCATGTGGCTAGACTATGTGACTAGACTCAATTAATGACTCGACAAGGTGTTATTGACAACGAAAATTAACCGAATTAATTAGCAAACTGGTTAATTAGACACTAGGTGATGACTCGACCAATAATCCGAATTGTCGGTAAAACGACAGGACTGGCGTCGCACTGTGTAGTGTAGCGCCAGACGACAGAGTTGTCGCCAGGTGCCACACTCCACAGAGTGGCGCTACAGTCCAGACTTTGGCGCCAATGCTGGAGCTTCAATCTGGGACTCTTTTCGGTGTTATTAATCAACAGGGGTATGCCTAAAGTCGTACTAGGTCAATTCTGATTAAAATATTAGACTTTATTTACTCAAATTAATTAATCAATTAATTAATTAGGCAAAGTTCTTTAAGTCATTAATTTATTTAATCTCAACACAAGTCAAACAAACGGTTAAGAAAACATAGTATATGCACAACAAATAATGCACAATTAGTCAAGTAGGCACAATATGATGCAATGAGTTTGCAACCTAACCATGGCTCTAATTCTCTAAAGTTCGGGATATGGTTTAGTCAATAGAGGGTCCATGGTTAATTGTTCAGATGCACCGCGCGGAAGCCTAACCGTGATGGGTTGGCGCGAGTGAATGGGACACCGCGAGTTTTAGAAAAACTTGCTTCTATGGTTTGGTGATTCAACAATCTCGGATATACCCTTTGTTGCTCAGAGCGTTCAATCAGGTAGATGGAGCATGAATTCCCAGACGGTTATGTCCATATGTAGAACACATATGGGTTTCAGAAAAGTGAGAAAAACTTAACCAGGAAGTAGGATCAAGCAAACAATACGAAAAACTGGTCGAAATTAGAACGCATATTTCTGGCTCGGTATTGGAAGAATTTGGCGCCAACAAACAGAGACTAGCGTCAGGTTTTAGCTGTAGCGTCTGGCGCTACAGTTAAAATTCTGGCGCCAATTCTCTGGCCTCTGGCGCTAATTCCTACATACCTCAGCAGCTTTCTAAGCCCGATAAAATTTTCCAGTTTCGCGCAGTGTTATTTCGGTCCTAGTTGTGAAAGATATTTCTCAAATTTCCTACGTGTAAAATCCTATGTTTATAACTCATTACGGATGGTCTTTCCAATGAGATCTTTTTTATGCATATGACAATAATGTTAATCAAAATTACGCACATTAAATACTTAGAACGTTTCGAGTCTCATCCACTCATTCTAAATCATTGCCAAAACAAATTCAGGAATTAAAATAGAAATCCTCCCCAGAGGAGTCGCCAAAAAACTGTAGTGAATAATTTCAAGCGTTAATCCTCCTAGCTTGAACCCCACTGTGATCATACACTAAAGTACGGTGGCGTCCAAAAGGGAAGAAGATAAAGCAAAAGAGTCGCCAACAAGTTTTAGGAACTTGTAAACCGTTCACAGGGTGAAGGTTACACCCCTTAACGATCCAAGAAATCGTCAACTCCATAAGGTCTTGAACCAAATAAGGGTTCGGGGATGAAGGTACAAATCCAACCTAAAAGAGATTGAACCTGCCCTAATAATAGGCCTCTACTTTATTCTGATCGCACTACTACATTTTTAACCTATTGCAACCCTCAAATCCGTTGCATTAGGCGTCAAAATCCGTGGCATTATGCCTATTGCAACGGCCATGTACCGTAGCATCTGCTGGCGTTGCAGTAGGTCTAATGCAACGGTAAAATTACCTAACACAACGGCAAGCTTATAGCCGTTGCAATAGCTATCATCTATTGCCACGGCACCCTTATGGCCGTTGCAGTAGCCATATTTAGCTAATGCGATGGCAATATGTAGCTAACACCACGGGCAAAGTGCTAACGCAACGGCTATAACAATAATTATAATAGTTTTCAACAAGAATTAATAATAATAATAATCATAATAATAATAATAATAATAATAATAACAATAACATTAACAATAATAATAAAAATAATAATCAAATCCAAACTTTATTAATATAAATTGTAGAATTGTACATTGTTAGTTTGTTACCCTTAGGGAAAATTACAAAATTATACAATATGTCTCTAATTAAACTATGAAAAAAGTATCAAAATTAAATATTTGTGTCGTGTCTTATTAAGTCTTGTTGTGATACGATCAATTCAGGCATTCTGCTTTCCAGGCTAGGGGTTATGCTCCTTTCTTCCCCATATTCAGAACTTGTAGAATTACTTGTTGTGCTGACTTACTTCCATCTCCTTAATCTGCTTACGCAGACTAGCACCATAAAGGGTACCTGAACAATGCAACAATAAGCATCAATTGATCAGATACACCCATACATACACTTTCAATCTACTAACCCAACATAACAGCAAACAAAAATAAAATCCTGATGGCTGATACCACATGTATTGAACTTCAAATTACCCATCTCTAATCATATACAAAGCTGTTCTAAACAAAGATTATCATATGCAGTCATCTAGAATGATTTCTATGAACATAATCAGCACTAAACAACCTAAATCAATCATATTATGGTCATAATTCATTACCTTTAAAAAAAAATACCCGTAATGGGACAAAGGTTCTCCCAAACTTGTTCAAAATCGTAAGGCAAAACAAGCTAAGATATGGGTAACCTTATTCCCATCTCGCTCAACATGGAACCACAAAACAGAATTAAAATCAACACAAGAAGACAATATATCATCTAAAATAGAATCAAGATCAGTGAGGTAAACCGAGGCCTTTGATAATCTGGAGATAAGGACTTGACAGTTTGCTTCTAGAATAACATCCTTCAAGCCAAAGCGTTTGGCTAATCTGACTGCCATAGCAGCAGCTTTGCTTTCTGCCATAACAGGGGGATAGTAAGCTCTGGTGCGCCTGGAAGCAGTGAACAACACCTCCCCCTGCCAGTCTCTTGCAACAACACCAAGCCCCACCCACCCCTCAACGTTCAGTGAGGCATCGCAGTTGAGTTTATTCGTTCCCTCGTGTGGGAGAACCCATTTCTTCAAGCTTCTACAGGTAGCTGTCTTGGCACCACCATAAATCTTTTGTGCATAGAGGCCACAATCAGAGGCAAGTCTGTAAACTCGCTCAATAATCACAGGGTGGTAAGTGTCTTTTCCATTAAAAATCATGTCATTCCTTCTATTCATAATCTAAGAATTACTTCATGCAATGTAACATAATTGAAATACAATAAGATTACATTCAAACAAAATTGAAAATACTCACCGTATTTTTCGACAATACCAACCTTCTTGGTTCTCTTGGCATGTTTACATAAACAGGTATAAGTCAAAAATTTGTTAAGCAAAAGCTAAGCATAATCATCGCACATTCTAGACCAATAAATACCAAAATTAAAACAAAAAAAAGCAACTTTAACACCCTCAAATTTTGACACTATACAAAGTTCCAAGCATTCAATTCACTCATTGCTTATACCAGTAAATGAAGCAAATTCACAATTTTATTTTATACGCATAAGTTATCTTTCAATGCCCAATGTTTGATAAATCTGAGTGTGCCGGCAACAATTCCTATATACTAAACTAAAATCACTATCAAAGATTACAGATTACAAATAGATGTTTCATAAACCCTAGATAACAATTAATATGAACCTCAAAAGCTAGCAAATCTTACAGATTACAAACAGATGTTTCATAAACCCTAGAAAACAATTGATATCAACCTCAAAAGCTAACAAACTACGCTAATAATCAGCATTAAAATGAAAAAATCGACTACTCATCAGATCAAAAAAACAAAAAGCGCATAAAATAGTACTGATTTGGAGTTTTTAAAATGCAAATTTCACAATAAACTCAAAATTGTAAACTAACATTTCAAGCAACAAAAAATCAAACAAATCAATCTAAACATATGTCAAATAAATCAGATTCATACACAATAAATTAATCTAAACTAGATTATCATTGATGAATGAGAATAGAGAGATTGAGAGGAATACCATTGCGACGAATGTAGACGGCAGAAGAAATAGAAAATGAAATCTTGGAGAAGAGTGTCGAAGGGTACGAACTTTGAAGTCGAAATCAGGAGGGAGAAAGAGGTCATTCTTGAAGATCTGGGTTAAATCGTAGATTGGGTCGCCAAAGAGGTCGGTGTTTGACCACGGTGGTGGTGCAGGTGGTGGTTGCGTCATTTCTAGATTAGCCGACGCCATTGTTGGTGGTTTTAAGATCTGGGTTTTAAAGCAGATGCAACAACTACGATAAAAATGTACTCCTTCTCATCTACCTTTACCTGAAGCATCTCCCACACATTCTCAAGTGAACAAACAACCTCCTTTCTCAGAGTTTCGCCGAAAAAATCCGTCTCTTTGGTGACGAAATCAATGGCTGATTGAAGAAACCCTAGCAAACTAAAAGGATCGAGAGTTGAAGATTACGGTTTTAGAGTCGATTCTTCTACGGTGGTTGTTGAGGATTGTATAGAATTGCCATAGATTTTGAGGAGAGAGAGAGGGGCAGAGAGAAATTCTGGGGTTTTTTTTTTTTTTTTTGGAAGAACCTGAAAAGAAAAAAGGAATAGTAATAAAAAGGGGTATAAGGGCTGGATCAGAGTATAAGGCGTTCTAAATTTTGGGAAAAAGATTAGAGGGAATTTTAAGGGCGTTAATTTTTTTTTTGGGTGTGTCGTTGCAGTAGCCATTTACCCCTCACATTAATTGATCTAACGCCACGGTTCTCAACAGCCGTTGTATTAGCTCTACTTAGTGAAGTTAAAAAGAAAGATTTGTTGCATTAGCCTAATCTATTGCAACGGCAATACAAATGGCGTTGCATTAGCCTGTCATTAGCTGTTGCATTTAGTCAAAAATGTAGTAGTGTCGTATTCATGTGCGCTTTCTGACTAACATACAATCAATAGGATTAACCCTAAACCTGTTTATATATGTTGGTTGAATATTAATGCACAATTAAAACTATTATTGGCGATCACTTGAATTATAATCACAATTAACCCTAAACAAGATTATTAATTATCTTATTAAACGTGATTACAAATACAAAATTCCCTTTAAACATGCATAAAAGGCGTGATCAACCAATAACAATATATATCATCAAGCAACATAATAATAATCATAATAATTATAATCATCATAATAATTATAATCATAATCATAATAATCATGATAATCATGAATAATAATTAAAATAATAATCATCACAATAACAATTAAATAAATATTAAAATCATAAAATCATAATTAAAATAATCATATCAACGTTAAAGCATAATAATAGCAAGATCCTATGCATGATACTAACAAGATTAATAACAAACCCTAACATGTCACTAAGCAATAAAAATCAAATCTTTAGCCATAACATGATACTAACAATCATAACTATTAGGAAGAACATAGGAAGCATCATAACAATCATACTTGATATAAAAATTACCCTAGACATGATAGTAGGAATCAAAATAACAATCTAAGATGAACTCTATATCATAACATCAATAAAAACCATCAAAATACTTACTTCGATGCCCTCATACCTCTTTCTAATAACAAAATACACACGTTAGTAACTTCAAGGAAAATAATAAAACAAAATAATTAAATTAAATAATTGAAAGAGAGATTTGGGACCAAACCCTCAGAAACTAAACCTTCACGTCTAGGGCGAAGACAACTTCGAATATGGCTAGGTGTATCTAGATCTAATGAATGCGGAATTTTGTATTTGAGAGAAGCTAGTTTAGAAAAAGAGAGAGAGAGTAATCAAGATTTTCTTGATAAGAGTTGGTGAATATTAGAAAGAATAAGAATTGATGAATGAAAACGGAGTTTTTACGACGTTATTTATAGAGAAAATCAGCCAAAAAGATAAAATATCAAAACAGAGTTCTGACACACGTAAAACTGAACCAGCGCCAACGCTGGCTGTTGGCGCCAAGCGCCAACATCAGCGCCAGGGCCAAAGCTGGCGCCAGGCGCCAGGCGCTACAACTAGCGTTTGGCGCTGATCTGGAAAATTACGCGTTTTCTTAAAATCAGATAAAAATTGTCGTACAGGAGGATAAAATCGTATTTTCCTCAAAAATGCTCTTTGATTTTAATTAAAACTCTGAAAAGTCAACAAAAGTCAATTTATCAATGCTAATTGAATTAGGAATGAAAAGAACCTTCTAGAAGAATCTAGAAGACTAAAACCATTCCTAATTGCATTAGGAATGATAAATCCATATTAGGCCCTCCCCTAGATCATTGGGCCGCATATAAGGCTCAAACCGGGCCCAGTTCAGTAAATTGGCCATAACTTCCTCAATATTCATCGGAATTGGGCTTATAATATATTGTTGGAAAGCTTTTGTCAAGCCCCATCCAACTACATTACTATTGGACCCATATCATGGACCAACCAAACTGGATTGGATATTTTCTTAAAATAAGTTTTCAAAAACAGAGAGAAGAGAAAATAAATTAAAACTATCCGCAACACTAAACTTTCCACACTTTCACTGCATTCGATTATGATTCGACGCGAAAGGTACTCATCACTGGGTTTGGTTTTGGGGAGACACAAATGGGTGTCTACACCTGTTTAATCTATGTTGGTTGAATATTAAATGCACAAATAAATCTATTATTGGTGATCACTTGAATTATAATCATATTAACCCTAAACAAGATTATTAATTATCTTATTAAGCGTGATTACAAGTACAAATTCCCTTTAAACATGCACAAAAGGCGTGATCAAGCAATAACAATAAATATCAAGCGACATAATAATAATCATAAATAATAATTATGATAATTAAAATAATAAAATTAATCATAATTAACATAGTCATGTTAAAGCATAATAATAGCAAGATCCTAGACATGATACTAACAAGATTAATAACAAACCCTAGCATGTCACTAAACAATAAAAATCAAAGCTTTAACCCTAACATGATACTATCATGAATATTAGGAAAAGAAAATAGGAAGCATCGCAGGAATCACAATTGTCATATTTGATATTAGAAATTATAGTTATTACCCTAAACATGATACTAGGAATCATTGTTGTTATTCAAAACATCAAGCATCCTAACATGATACTAGGAATCAAAATAACCATCTAGACATGATTTCTATATCATAATATCAATAAATCAATTAAAGTACTTACTTGGATGCCTCGTACCTCTTTCTAATAACAAAATACACGCGTTAGTAATTTCAAGGAAAATATAAATTAAACAATTAAATTAAATAATTGAAATAGAGACTACGAAAGTTTAGACTAGATTTGGGACCAAACCCTCAAAAATATCAAACCTTTCACGTCTAGGGCGAAAGGCAACTTCGAATTATGCTAGGTGTGTCTAGTGCTAATGTATGAGGAATTGTGTTTGTAAAAGGCTAGTTTAGAAAAGAGATAGAGAGATTAAGAGAATCTTGAATAGAGTATTAGAATTGAAAACTAGAGAGTTGATGATTGAAAACGGAGGTTTTAGGAGGCTATTTATAGATAAAATCAGCCAGATGGATAAAAAACGAATCAGAGTTTCGAAAAGAATAAAACAAATTGGCGCAAAACGCTAGACTCTAGCGCCAGACGCCAGGGCTAGCGTCAGACGCCAATCCTGGCGCCAGGCGCTGGTCCTGCCGTCAGACGCTAGAAAACATTTTCCATGCGTTTTCTTAATTTGATAAATTTTATCCGTACAGGAGGGAAAAACCGTATTTTCCTTAAAAACACTTCTTTTATTCTGATTAAAACTCTAAAAAGACAACTAAAGTCAATTTATCAATGCTAATTAAATTAGGAATGAAAAGAACCTTCTAAAAGAATCTAGAAGACTATAATGAATTCTAATTGCATTAGGAATGATAAATCAATGTTAGGCCCTCCTCTAGATCATTGGGTCGCATATAAGGCTCAAACCAGGCCCAGCTTAGTAATTTGGCCATAACTCCCTCATTATTCATAGGAATTGGGCTTATAATATATCGTTGGAAAGCTCTTTTCGAACCCGACCCAACTACACTATTATTGGACCTTTGCCATGGACCAAACCAAACTGGATTGGCTGTTTTCTTAAAATAGGTTTTCAAAAACAGAGAGAAAGAAAAGAAATAAAAACTGACCACAACACTAGACTTTCCACACTTTCACTTCATTCGATTATGATTCGACGTGAAAGGTACTCATCACTGGGTTTGGTTTTGGGGAGACATAAATGGGTGTCTACACACCCCGGACTGAGAAACTCAAGTAACCCATGACTGAAAAACTCGGGTAACCCCTGCCGCACGGTATAGCAAGCCGCATACAATAATTTGTGATGAAATGAAATTACAATCAAATGCAAGATACTCAAACTCTAAAATTCTGCCAACCATATGAACAATATTTTCATTGACTTTAGACTCACATCACTATTCCTTTCATATTTGACAAGTTTCTTCTTTTTAATAGGTAGGGATAGGGATCCATGAACAATTTGCAAGTTTTTTAAAAACTTGTTGGGGACCCCTTACTTTGTCCCTTGTCTCTTTCATTTCAATATCAGTTCCAAATTTTTATACGATTGCCAAACACATTCACATGTACTAAAAGTAGTTTGATGCTTACGACACCTACATGATTGATTAATTTCATGAAATAAATATTTCATAATCCATATTGTCTTCGGTCTGTACAATAGTTTTTCTAAGATATTATTCCCTTCGTCACTTTTTAATGTATAAGTATTGTATTTTAGGCGTCTCATCTCTTACCTATGGTTATATTCATATTTTTTCCTAAATTTAAATACTCAAATTTACCCCCATATTTTCCACTCCCAATATACGTACCTTCATACTACGGAGTACCAATTTCCAATGCAAATGTTCCCATTTACCAAAATATTTATATATCCTTACAAAAAACTATTTCATTTATCAAAATATTTACCTATGTTAAAAGCAAACATGTGTTATAAAAAAAATAAATAAATAAAAGCAAACATGTGATTTCCAACAAAATTAGTCACTCCCAAAATATATATTCTTATCATGTATACTTTCAAAATCTTTTTCATACCAAACGTAATCTATATCTATATCTATATAACTATTAAACGTGAGAAGTTGGCAAGTTGAAAATCTCTTCGTAATAGTGTGGTGACCCTTTTGCCCCTCAAAAAGTACAATTACAACGTTGCCCTTATTTTTGCTGATGGTGATATGTTGGCTCTCATTCGTCTCTCTGCCAATATGCTTAGGTGGTGTTTTGTTGGCTCTTGATTACTTTCTGCTTGCTGGTGATCAATTTCTCCAGGGTTATTCAATCTTTAAACATAGGGTTATCATCAAATTCGATCCCCAAGTTCTCTCTCCTTCTCTCTCATCGAACAACAATGGCGTTGCGTAGATTCAACAACGAGCTTCGAGGTGTTACAGTGAAGGAAGCTCCCGACAAGGTAAAGCCTATGCTATCTTTCTCCTACCTTAAGGAATCGTTCGCCAAAGGAATCGACAGTTAACATGTTTGCTTTGGTTCTTCCCGAGGAACGTCGTTATCTTGAGCATGCCCAGAAACGTGGTCATTGATCTCCCTCCTTTTTCAGGTTATTTTGGTTTGGATTGTTTCAAATTGATTCTAAATTTTGTTGATTTTATTTTTATTGGATTTGGAGCTGGTTATGTTGATTGCATCGGGAATTTGATATTCAAATTATTGGGTTTTATGTTTTGATGATTTGAGATTTTTTTTTGGTGAAATGTGGCTTTTGATTTTGCATTTTCTTTTGATTGATTGGTTTATACTTGGTTATTTGGGTTATACTGTTAAATTATGTATAGTCAATTTGGGGTTTTCGCTTATTTAGGGTTTCGAGTTATCAATTTGTGTTTCTTTTCGGTCCAACTTGTGCCATCTATTAATTTTGGGATTTTTTTTTTGAAGGTTTTTGGTACATAGAAATGTGTGAAAGTTGCAAGCTTTGTTTTGGGTTTGTGTTTTTTTTTTCAACTGAATTAGTTTTGTTGATTTCTTCATATTAACCCCCAATTTGTGTAGAAAGTTTGGATTTTATTTGAATGGCAACTGGCAAGTCATATATTGGCTCATCTTGTTTCACAAAACAGCTTTTAAATCCTGGGTTAAGTGGATATGTGGTAAGAAAGAGACATTTTAAGGCGCTTAAGAATGAGTTTTCGACTCGAAAAAGTATCTGAATTTATGAATCTATGCATTGAACCAGGTCGGATGAGTGAGTTTGTTTTCAATCATCGAATATCAAATTCACAGTCTAGGGTTCTTAGTTTTCTTTTTCAGTTTAGTCAATGTAGAGTTCTTCTAAGATGGATTATTGAGCTAATTAATAGTCTTAATATAGGGTTTTAATTGCATGTTTTTGGAATTTTCATTGCATATGTCAGTTTTTTTAGGTTTTGTTTGAATTGTTTGGTCAAAATTTTATACATTGATCTTTACAAGAGCACACGGATTTAACGTGGATACAAAAGTCATAGGTGGAAGTGAGGAAATTTTCTTTGTGTTTTTGTTAGGAGTTGATATGTTTTTTCAATCAACCTTTCTTATTTACTCTTTGAAGTACATTGGTGCAGAACCGAACAAAGGAAATGGTCAAGACTTGGAGAACTACTCATGGGTACAGCCCCTGCCAGAAGTTACTGTAAGCGTACCCGTTCCACCTGGGACAAATTCAAGGTCCATCTCTTGTGAGATTAAGAAGAATCACTTGAAAGTTGGTCTCAAGGGCCCGCCTCCTATTATTGATGTAAGCTCTCTTTAATCAGATTGAGCCACTTGTTTTCCTTTAAACAAACTTATACCTTCTTTTTTTTACCTGTATTATTTATTGTTTCAGGGTGATCTCTACAAGCCTGTGAAGCCAGATGACTGCACACAGGTAATTTGGACGAGAGAGTTACTGATAGGATCCAAGCAGGGCGAGTATTTGATTTATACATTCCGCGTGATAGAGAATAGATAAACCTAAGGGTTTTGCCTTTGTAGAGTATGAAATAGAAGAGATTGCAAATTATGTTGTCAGGCTTTTTTTCTGGCCCTTTGACTCTGTACAACATGACGTAAAATATGCGGACTGTCCCCTTTCTTTTTTTCTCTGCATTACTGCATATCTTATTCTGACATTTAGTTGGAGCTTCATAAGGCTATTTTTAGTCTCGTGTTACTTTCCTCATATGGTTGGTGGGATCTTAGTTAGTTCAATTGCCTACTTTTGTTATATGACCAATTACTTTTGTTGTATGACCAATTGACCTGTTTAAACTTCTATGAGTGGAACTTGCAGGCCATGATGTATTATGGCGCCATAATATGGGCATTGGGCAATTAACATGTATTTTTCGATATATTTTTTCATCGAATAGGAAGATAATTGATTTACCTCTGTTAATAATGTTTTGTTTTTATGTACAGATTTCTTGGCAATACAAGGCAGCTGCGAATATGACCTCTACATCGATGCACCCATCTAATTCACCTCTTAAGTCCAGGAAACCTGAACCTTGTAGCAGTAAGGAAGACCTTTATCACTCTCGTTCTTTTGGGGAAGGCCATCTCCATTTCTCGTGAGTCGAGGAAGCCTACAAATAACTCTTCGACATTACTCGCATTGGAGCGGCTTTTGGGTTTTTTACTGCTCCATTGAAGTAGCTTCTGAGGTAAATATCAAATTCACAATCTGGGTTTTCACTGCTCTATTGAAGTAGCTTCTCAGGTAAGATTTTCTTTCTTCCTATAAATCATCAAATATCATTTGCAATTGAGTTGTTTGAGTTGCGGAAGAAGAAAATAGTGAATCATTTTATTACAGTAGTTGTATTTGGGATTTTGGGGGGATTTAAGTGCATGGTTTGTGAATTTTAATTCAAAACTAGTCTTCTGACCCGTGCAATGCACGGATTGTTTATAGGTATTTAATATGATTTTTAATTTTATAATACTCGTATATTTTTTATTGGAAAATTAATAGTTATAAAGAAGAATAAGGGGTGAAAATTGAATGTAATTGTAGAAAATATTAAGTTGGGGGAAAGTGAACAAAACATTCATTCATGTATTGAATTAAAGCTAGTGTATTTTTTTTTTAATATGAGAAAGATTAAATGAAATGACATGTGGCATTGGTGAAAAATTTAATTTACATGTGGCATCATGAGGATGATGGTTTGTGTTTTTAAATACTAAGTATAGATGTTTGATATTGTTAATAATTTATGAATTTGAGCCTTAAAATTTCTTCAAAATGGATTATTAGGTGGGATGCTTTACAATCGTGAATAATGGAGCAGCCAGTAGCGAAACCCAAGGACGGTGGCTGAACAATCAGAAGAATGTGAAGAAATACAGCTTGGCCCTTTTCCGAACGAAAACTTACAGGTATAATTGTCAAAATTTTCCTCATTTTTCTCTCATCAACTTGATAATTACCTCTATTTATCTAGAATTTCTTCATTCTCTATCAATTTTATCTCATCCCCATCTCTTAATCAGTTAATCCCACCCCTCTCTCTCCACCACCCCCACAGCAGTAACAACACCTGCAGCAACACCGACACCTGCAGCAACACCAACACCAGCACCAACCACCGCCACAGCAAGGCCCACCACCGCACCACATGCAACACTTACCACCATCACACATGCATCCTCTGCTGTAGTACAAGCAGCACCCGCCGCTTCCTCTGCAGCACCAACAACATCCTGTAATGGACTTTCACCGGGGCCCACCTCCACCTCCTCCTCCTACTATGATTCGACATTCTTCTGCTGCTTCTACTAATATCCCTCCCGATTTTCATCACCCTCAACAACCTCCTCAATGTAATCTCTCTTCTCAAATTGTTATATATTCGAGATTTGGGTAATTAAATTTATGAATTAGGGGTTTAAGGGATTGTTTGATGTGGGGTTGATTGAATTGTTTGGGTTACTGTTAGATTTTTTATTTATATACTATTTGGTTATAATTGAAATGGATGATTAATTTGAGGTGGGTTTTCTTTTAATTTTGTTACCCTTATGATTTTAAAAAATTGATTCGAGTTATCGAGTTTATGCTCAAACTATTCATTTGGGAGGCTTTTATTGATTTTTCACTATTTTCAGAGCTATTTGGGATAATTTGTTACCCTAATTAATACCATTTCTTGATGACTTCTCTCTGAAATTCAAATTGTTAGTGATAATCTGTGAAATTTAGAGTTTTGACTATTAGTGGTTGCCAATTTGCCATAGTTTGGATAATCTCTATATTTTATACAAGTTAAGGGAGGTTAACAGTATTAGTTTTGTGCAGTTTGTTATGCTTTGCTTTTTATTATCTTATTTTCGATTTCTACTGGACTCTCACAGCTCGGGGTTCGTTTATTTTGCATAGTTAGCTGCGCTTGCTGTAATTATCTGTTGTCTGACATTGTTAATATTCATTGTTTAAACAGATTAGTGATGAGCTGAATGCTGAATCTGTTGTTGTAAAAGATGCTTACAGTGATGATCGACATGTTAGGTAAATTGCTTATGCTTTGTTTTAATTTAGATTTTTTAAGGTATTAGTCTAAGGATTAATGAAAGCAGCATCTCTTCAATTAGAGGTTAGGATTTTCAAGGCTTTGATATTAGTGTTATTACATACCTTAAATTAGGACCATACTGTGGAGGCATGGACAACAGTGCTGACATGCCGTCGACAACTAGACTTGACAACTTTTTGTATTTAGGGGGGGGGGGGGTATGATACTTATAGTGTTGACAATGTTTGGATTGTTTATTTGTTTCATATCGAATGTTTGATCTTAACTTTTTGATACCGATACTGATATTGATATTAATTTTTGATTGGGTTTATTGTTTGTTTGATCGTGAAGAACCCTACAAGGGAAAGTAAAGAAGTTTAGTAAGTATAGATGTATTCAATTTGATTCCTGATTGTTTACTATATATATAAGTAAAAAAGTATGCTCCTAGCAAGCGCCGTGAGAGGGCCTTGATGAAACTGTAAATACCCTGAATTAATTTATTTTTGATTGATTTTGTGTAATATTTTCATCATGAATTTGGATTAAAAGTTGGGTGTGTTTAATTTTGTTAAATTTTTATGAACTACGATGATGATTGACTATAAGGTGGAGATGATCGATCGATGATGACATGCAAGAATTTTATATTGAATTTCATGGACCCACTAACAGTATATATAATCTAAACTCTGAATTTATAGAAGCAACCACAACACAGAAAATTAAATACGCAAATTTGATAAGCTATTTGCAAAGAATAGTATTAATATTCTGTTTCGTTGAATTAATGATTACGCTGCCAAATTATGAAGAGTTTTTGTATAGTTTAATCAATTTCATTCTAGCATGAGGTTTGTCTGCAAGTTACCATCAAAGGCTTTTGTTTGCAGTCTTTGCACCACATCCAGCCAATAGCAAAACAAAATGAATTAATTCCTGGGAACTATGTCATGAAGAGGTGTGCTGTGACCTTATATAGTATACTTTGACAGGAGCAGATTCTTCATAAACTGAGAAATCAAATTATGGGTTTCAACTGTGTGAAGATATTTAACAAGAAGGGGAAGGAACCCCAAGTTTGGCTTTATCTAATGGGTTCTGATTTTGTGCTTTGAGTTCTTAATTTATGTTGCTCATTTTGATTGATATATTTTTTGCCGATAAGGAATCTTTTGGTCCTTAATTACCAGGTGCCTTGTTTAAGAAGTCACGTGAAGAGTATTTCAACTTTTCAAGCCTAGCTATCAATGTATTCCCGGTGAGTACATTGTCTTTGCTTGATTTTCCTTTTTCATTCAGAAATTCCCATGTGAAATTCAAAATATTTAAAGTTTCGTTCATCTCAATGCCTATTCTGATTGTTTGCGATTACTGTTGTTGGGGTTAGAGGAGGCATGACCACATGAGGGCTTAGCTGTTTCATCATATAACAAGACACTTTTTTGATGAGTAATATAATTATATGTGATTCACATATATTCGAGTGTGATTTTTAGAGCTGTGTAGTGTTATGCCACTACAGTGTGATTTTGTTAGTTTGATGTTTATCAGTTTAGTTTGACTTTGCTGTTAGATTATGCATCTTTAATTTAAGAATTTACTAATAATAGATACGAGAAACGAAAGTGTCAATGCTTTCTCTTCGTCAATAGGCTTTCTAAGATTATAACTACAAGAGCTTTGTCTTTCCATCACTTTAAAATTTCCTTTTGCCTTTCTTTCTCTTGATTTGTTGGTTTAATTTAACCCTTTATTCTAATTTAATTTGTTATTTGAAATAGAATGAATGTTCATGTGAAGATAGTTGATAAGAATAACTTTGTCAATATGGTCAGCCAGGAACACATCATTGCCACCAAACTATGAAGTGTACGCCCGCACATTGGTCAAGCATGGCAAGATACTATCTCGATGATAGTTCTGCAGTTACCACTGATGCATCTATAGTGCAGCAACAAAGGCATTTTAGTTAGAATTCACAGATATAAAGAGAAGGTATTTTAAATAATTTTGTTATTTTAGATTAGAATTCACAGACATAAAAAGAAAGGCATTCTAAATAATTTTTGTTCAAATATCTAGGATACATTTTTGTAGGGAGATACAAGTGCATAGAATCTGCTTTGCAGAATAGCTGATACTATCTTGTTATGAGTTTGTATCTTCTAAGCCCGTAGCTTGTGTTTGTAATATTATTTTGTAACAACTTAGTTGTTCCAACTATTATATTTCAGACTGAATTCTTTAAATATGTTCAGATTGTTTACTTGAATGTGGTGTTTCACTAAATCACTTTGTGCTTTTTACAATTGAGGTTTCTGGAGATTGTTGTAATGTTTCATCTTAAAGCACATCATAAAAGCTGTAACGGAGCTATTTGAATATTAATTTTATTGATATTTGGTTCAATTAATCCAAAATAAAGGAAATTTGCATTTATTGGCTCACTTTTGTATTTTGTAATAAATGAAACTATTACGTCCCGGATCGATGGATATATGGACTGTAGAAATGCAAGGGAGTTGGAAGAGAAATAAAGAGAGTGATAAATAGGAAATAGGACTGAGAGAAAAGGACATAGAAAAAATATATGATATAATAATAAAGAACGAAGGAGAAGGCTCGAGGGAGAAAGAGAGAGGGGGAGTAAGTGCGACCTATAATTTTCAATTATTGTTTTATTTTTTCTCACTTATTTGAACTCGATTTTGTTACAACATATATTATCAAATAAAATTTTTTTGGTGCATCAAGCCACACCGTGTGGCAGGGATTACCCGAGTTATTTTGTTAGGGGTTATCCGAGTTATGCAGTCAGGGGTTACTCGAGTTTCTCGGTCAGGAGTTATTGTGGGGTTCAGATAGGGGTTACTCGAGAGGTTCACTCCGTTAAGGGTTACCTGAGGGATTACTCAATCAGGGGTTACTCGAATTACTCGGTCAAGGGTTACTCGAGAAGTTACTCGATCATGGGTTACTCAAGTTACTCGGTTAGGAGTAAATCGAGTTACTAGGTAAGGGGTTATTTAAGGAGTTCAGTTAGGGGTTACTTAAATAATCCGGTCAGGATTATTTAAAGAGTTCGATCAGGGGTTATTTAGTACCCGGTAAGGGGTTACTTGAAGAATTACTCGGTCTGGGGTTAGTTGCCAGGGGTTACTCTTAGAGGAGGAGAGGAAGGGGAGAAGGAGAGAAAGGGAAAAGGAGGTAGAGAAACAAGGGCTACATAAACAGGAAGAGACAATAAACAGAAAGGGAAAACGCCCCATAATTAAAATTCACATTAGAAAATTATTAGCTTATTGCTACATAAACAACAACATTATCGATCTATATATAACAATAACGTTATATTTGTGGATGCAACAAATTCTATGTTAAAATACAACAAATTAATTACACATTTACGTTAAATGCAAAATAAAACTATTACGATTCGCCAAATGGAGCGCGCATATCGCGCGCGCGGAAGTCACAAACTAGTTATAAAAAAGAGACGGACGGAGTATCATTTACCAAAGCCTTAGTTGAGAATGAGGGGTAGCTCAAGTGGTTAGAGCTTTCCTCCCGATTCCAAGAGATCTTGGGATCGATTCTCACCCCCGCCCTTGTGGCTCTCTAAACACCAAAAAAAAAAAAAAAAAAAAAAAAAAAAATTACCAAAGCCTTAGTTATAAAAGTAATTAATGTATATTTTGACCGTGGTTAACATATATTTAGACGGGGTTAAATGGTTTTGGTTGTGTGGTATAATAATAATCCACTCACCAATGTCTCCACCACATCATGTGACTTGGGGAAGTTACATACCAATTCACATCCACACTAAATGATTCACATTTCACAGCATGTTTAATTGTTTATAATAATAATGGTGGTGGTTGTTTTGACAGAGAAAGTGGGAAAGAAAAGAAGACAGTGGGGAGACACAACACCATTTGGTAAGCGGCCCAAATTACTGACTTTTATTAGTAGGATACCCTTTTAGTTCTTTAAAATTCATTGCACCTAAAAAGAGATGAAAAAAACATACTAACGTAGTAACGTTGTAACCGAAATTTTTTCATACTAAAGTAACATTGTAATCGAAATTATTGACCTTCTTTATTTTTATTGATTTAAATGATAGAAATATTACTTTGTATTTGAAATTTTTTTGTTTTTGGTCAATATGTAGACCGTATTTTACTATACTTTATCACTTCCGTTGCTTAAAATTGATCCGATATTATCACGAATTTTAGGTAATTTGTATGATAAATTATTCAGGTTGTCGTTTAGAAATTGATTTTATATCGTTTCATACCATAGGTAAATTATATGGTCCCACACCTCTACTTAGTTTTGGTTCGTTATCGTCTCGAATCATAGATAATTTTTATCATAAATTATCCTTGTTATCGCTTAGAAATTGGTTCGTTATCACCCCAAATCTTAGTTAATTTATATGGTGCCACACAAATAAAAGGACAAAATTACGTACTTAATACAAATTTTTTATTTACTTGATCAAATCCTCACTAAAACAACTAAAACCTTAATATGACCAGCTAAAACAATCTTAATAACACTCCTAAATATCATATTATGTAGTATAAAATCAAACAAGATTTCATTACATTACTAATTCCCCTCACATAATCTCCTTTTTTATTACATATTTACATTTACAAAAAAGTTAAAAAAAAAATATCAAAGACGATTTTTACAAGTTTGAAAAAATGTATTTGCTTAAAAAAAATGTAATAATATGTTGGAATTGGACATAATATTGGTAAATTTAGAACTGTCAAAAGCTGACCCGACCCGAAATCGATTGTTAACCGACCCATCTGAACCCGAAAAAATGGAGACCCAAACCCGACCTGAAACTAACCTAGACCCGAGTATGTGAGACCCGAATCCGAACATGAACTGACCTGAAAATTACCCGACCCGAATGTAACCCGTAAATTAATGACTTGAACCGAACCTAACTTGAACCGAAATTGACCAAAACTTGTTTTTACCGTCAAAACCCGAATTTAACCCAACTTGTTACTACCCTGACTTGAATTTAACCCGATTCGTTCCTAACCCGACCTGTTACTAACCCGACTTGAAATTCAACCCGACTTGTTACAAACCCGACCCAAAATCAACCCGACTTGTTATTGACCCGACCCAAATTCAACCCGACTTGTTATTGACTTGACCTAAATTCAACCCGACTTGTTGTTGACCCGACCTATTACTAACCCGACCCAAAAATTCAACACGATCTGTTACTAACCCGACCCGAAATCAACACGACTTGTTATTGACCCGACCTAAATTCAACCCAAATTGTTCTTGACCCGATTTCAGATCACTTTAAATTCAATTTAGACCACCTTATTATTGTTGATCAAAGCATTTTGTCTAGGGAGACCAAGTCGTTCTAGGCCAACAAAAGAAAGGAGCATCATCCCCAAATTTAAGAGTTAAATATAGTACTCCGTATATATTTGTTGTATGGTCAGAGGAGATGATTATCTTCCTAAATTTTAAGCTATAGTTCCCTAGTATGTTGCCATACATATTATAGTCAAAGAAAATAATTAGCTTGATAAAAATGATAATTATCTATTATAGTTAGTTGAATCCGAATATGACCTGACTTGGAAATGACTCGACCTGATTGTTACCCGCAAATTATTGACTTGAACATAACCTAACTTGAACCCGAGAACGATCCGACTTGGAAATGACCCAACCTGATTATAACCCGCAAATTATTGACTTCAATCGAACCTGACTTGAACCCGAGAATGACCCGACCTGATTATAACCCGCAAATTATTGACTTGAACCGAACCCGATTCAAACCCAAGAATGACCCGACCTGATTCTAACCAGCAAATTATTAACTCGAACTGAACTCGACTCAAACCCGAGAATTACCCTAACCTGTTTTAACCCGAACTAAACCCAACCTATTGTTCACCCGACCCGAACGTAACTCGACATGTTATTAACCCGCCTAAACCCGACCCAAACCCGACAAGACGTATGACCCGATGTGACCCGACTCAAACATAATCCAACCCCAACCTGACCCGCATAGGTTATGACATTAATCCGAATTGACCCAACCCAATCTTACCTGATCTAAACCCAATCCGTTTACCGGAATATACAGCTGTAGGTAAATTGAAGTTTTTTTTTTTTTGAAAGGAATAGGTACATTGAAGATTAATGTCTCCCCACCCCTCTTTAATCCCCTCTCTCTTTCTTTGCACCTTGTTTGTTTTTCAATCTCTCTCTTCCTCTCTCTCCTCATCTTCCAACCCCTTCAACCTCTCTCTTCCTCCTATTGCTCAGTGGGTTTTGTGTTGTCTTCTTTCTCTCTCTTCATTCTTCTCCCTTTTTTCTTCTTTTTAGAGAGAGAAAGAGAGAATTTTTCAAACAGTAGGTTTTGGATGACTTCTTACCTTACCCATTTTTGATTTTCCCCCTTCACCACCCTTGATTTCTGCCAAATTTTGTTACTTTTTTTTTTTGGGAGTTTTCGAGGCAGATCCATTTGTTGAGGTATGTTCTTCATATTTTTAATTTTTGATTTTCTTTCTGATGATCGGTTGTTGGTTTTGCTGTTTGTGTTTTGTGTTCTTTGATTTAAAGTTTTTTTTTTGGTTCTGGGATTGGTTTTAGTCCTTCGATTTTAAGCATTTCTACTTGGTTTTTTTAGACCGTTATTTTTTTTTTCATTTTTTGAAATTTGTTTTAAATTTAAGATTTTTATGTATGATTGTAGATTATTCAATTTACTTTATTTTATTTATTTTATTTTATTATTATCAAGCAGTGATGAAGTCTCTGAATCTGTTAGGACCCGATTTGAAATACTGTATGATTATAATTTTCCAAAAGTTTCAACCTTTTTGAATTTTGGAGGTGTATCTGCCCATTTTTTTTGTACAAATTTGTATGGTTGTGAGAAAATGCTAGTTTGAGGGACTTACTTTATTATGAGTAATAATTAACTAGGTTTCCTGTTGTGTATAATTAAAGTTAATTCATTTATCATGTTGGGATTGATTGTTGCTGCTTATTCTGTGGGATGTTGCTGTATATATGTGAGTATTTGTTTTTGATTTATCATGTTGGTATTGCTTGCTGCTGCTTATTCTGGGGGATGTTGCTGTATATATGTGAGTATTTTTATTGATGATTTTCTTTCTTTGGAATGTACTAGAGAAAAGATGTATTTTTTACAGTGAATGCGGTTTTCGATGGCGGGATAGA